CCCGCCACAAACACCACACATCAGACATCCACACCCACACATACCCCACACCATACATACCTGCCCCCTCACATACAATATACAAAAGTAAGACTTTATTTTGAGCTATTATGCAATCACATCTATATACACTATATAAACATACATAAATCAGGACAGAAATATTTTTAAAAATAGAATAAAAATATGTTATTATTATATAGAAGATGTTTGATTGTTAGTATATGATTTCTTTCTTTTCTGGTTCCAAGATAGTAACCTCCCCTCCCCCCAGAGTACTTCCAGGGGCAAGGGGAGGGACTTCCAGTGGCAAAGGCCAGGAGTTAGGGGGCAGGACTTCTGGTCCCAAGGTGGTGACAAAGGGGCAGGGCACCTGTCAAGGTGCAGGGCTACCCTTGTGGCCTCAAGATCTCACGAAAACTTATTAAGTGGCCCTCCAGCCAAAATAATTGCCCACCCCTGTTTTAGCTGCACTTCTCCCATCACTTTTTTTATGCAATCCCCATCTGAGGCCCCACAAAATTTTGGGATATCCTGGTCAACCTCCCCCTGGCTCTGGGCAAACTTGCCATTTATCAGACCGGGAAGGAGGCTCTGGCCAGGGCAGGGAACCTTGGTGAATGTGGGGCCATCTTCTGATAACTCTGCTGCTCACATCTCCAGGCAGAGTATCACCGGATGACATCCACTGGCACCTTGGACTTGTTTCAGAGATAGTGGGCTCTGGCTAGTCTGCTCTGTTTGGTGTCCCCCCCTTGAAATATTTGTTATAAAACTTGTGATCCAGTCTCTAGTCCCTGTTTTCTCTTTAGTTGTCCCAAGTAATCCACTGTTATATCTCTACTGCCTCACTTGATTAAGGGAGACTTATAGTTCTCTTTATGGGCCACATTTCTCTGGGCATAACAAATAGGCTTGTATGGTTGCTGCCTCTTATGTAAATATTTTCACGGCTAGTTTTTGAGTCAAGTTTCCCTCACCTTGGGTCAAACGTGCACTGTGGATACCTACCTTCTGGCATGAATTATGAGGTTACAAAAAAAAGCTAAGGCAATAGCCAAGGCTTTTTTTTCCACCATCCTACTGGAGTTGTGCAAAAGAGGATTAGTTGGCCTCTGCTTTGGGTCCTGCTGGGCTACAGGATATTCTTGGGAGGATTAGACAAAATATCCCCTGAAACTGATCACTGCAACGACCAGTTTTGCTGTGAATAACACAGAGCCTAACACAGAGCTGTAAAGATAAGTGGGAACAGGGTTTTAAAGCTATCTGGATACAAGATTCCCACTGAAGCTAGTGGAAGTTTGGGGCCTAAGTATTCTGAAAAATATGGCCCAAGATCCCTGCCTCAAAATAATTTCAAATGAAGTAGGCACTATACCAGGGGTGGGTCGGATGCAGCCCGCCAGGCTATTCTATCCAGCCCGCAGGGCCCCTAAAAAATTTAGAAAATTAATATTTATCTGCCCTGGGCTGCCTGTCGTGCAGCCCTTGATGGCTTGCCAAAACTCAGTAAGTGGCCCTCCACCCAAAATAATTGCCTGCCCCTGCACTATACAAATGCAAGCTGGGTTACAGTGGAAAGCAAGGTGACTGAGTTATGGCAGTGAGCACAGGGGGTCAGGTCCATTATTTTTGTGTGAATCAAAAAGAAATCATGCTGTGTCAAGACTTTCATCTGTGTAACTAGTTATCACTTGATGTCAAGGAAGGAGCGTTGACCATTCGTAGGCCGTAGTGCTGGGAACTAGAAGATTTGGGTGCCATTTCCAGCTATGCCACTAATTCATTCTGTGACTTTGGCTAAGTCATATAACATCATGAATCTCATATGAATTGGGGGACCATACGTCTCTGCTTTGGAAAACATTTAAATGTCTATGGATATAACATGCTAAGTGCTATTGTTTTTTTTTTTCAGGTGGTACCAGAAGGTATAGAGGACAGAAGCTTAATGGATCAAGTCAGGAAAGAAAGAAGACATGGGTGAGTGAGAACTGGAAAATAGAGCAGAAGAACTTGGGGGTGAGTAATAAATTGTGCGTCCTCCTTTAGCTATTTGTAATTATCCTAAATACCTTTTAATTAGAAATCCACAGAGTAGTTATCCTTAGGCTGCTGCTGGACATTCATTTAAAGGTGTGATGGGGTCTGATCTCTGATTCCAATGGCTCTCTCTTTCCTGCCATGCCACATGTACATGGCAGGACACGCAGTTAAGGATTCTGGGATCAGATCCCGGTCATGCCATATTTGCCAGTATGGGGGCAACTTGGAATCATGAAGATCATGAAGCCAACATTCTGCCAAGGCTAGCATTTCAGGTCTCCCATGTCTATGTGGGATGTTGGACTTTGAAACACTGTATCCTGAAATTCTGAATCTTTGCTGTCTGTGGCTTTATACCCTTTGTTGAAATAAGAACATCTAGCATATAGTATTCAATGTCTGGAATCGACTAGTATCTTTTGGGAATCCCATCCAGAATAGCTGAACAAGACCCTAACAATTTCTGTTCATAGGATATAGGCAGACAATTGTCTTTGAGTAAATCTTTTATTAGACAAACTATTTGAGTTGGTCTAAGAAAAGATAGTGGATTTATCCAAAGAACATTGTCTGCATATGTCCTTAGATCAATACAGCTACAACCTACACTCCTAGTCATAGTATAACAACTTTGAATTTGTCCAGCTTCCCACTGCTATCCTTTTTATGACAGTGCATAATTCTCTGAGGACTCTGTTTTCCTAGCACTCCTCTCTTTCCCTTCACCCTGCTCCTGCGTTTGTGTGACAGTTAAACCTGCCTGAGTACCTGTTGCTGTATAAGATATCTGTTAGACTGTAGACAACATAGGGACAGATGTAGATGTGGAACAACATTTTCAAAGTGCAACTAGAATAATCTTGCCCTGTTTAATTGCCAAGGACAAGATCCCTTCTGCCCTTTTGTATATCTAATGAGACAGTCTCCTCATCTTTAAAACATAGCAAAGCCTGCATGTCTGCCGTGTAGTTTCATTGGCATGCCAGTTATTACTGACACTACATGAGTTTACAGTGCAAAGAATGTGATTTCCCACTAGGTGAAGGTGTAATAATGAGCAAGCAACTCATCTATAATAGATCAAACTTGATGAGGCCCTGAACTAGTCAGTGCCACAACACAAACTATTAAAATAATGAAGAGATTTGTATATATTAATAAATCTGTATATAGTTAAGTATCCCTTGTCCTGGCCTGACTCTTTAGGGAGTAGAGGGATCTGGTCTGCAGTTTGCAGATCCCTCTCAGCACTCCTGCTTTGCCACCCATCCCTTCTATCGAGAGAAGGGAGCACATTACTTGGGTGTACCCGGGTTACATTTTGAAGGTTTGCATGGGATTTGGTGGCAGGTGATTCAATGTTAAATGTATTGTGTATCTCTATAGAGAATCAGAGAGGGAAATATGTCAGATCCTAACAGTCCCCAGGCATCGGGAGGAGAGGAATGCCCAGGAATCATCTGGGCCTGGAATGGCAACAGCCTTGTCCAGTGATGCACTGGAGTGGGTCACCGCCTTGTAGCAGGTCATTAGAAAGGTGACAAGCTCCTCCAATGACCAGGGCATGTATAAAAGATTGAGAAACTTTTCAGGAAATTTTCTGGTTCCTGCGGGGGAAGAAGGGTTTGAAGCATGGGCTGCTCATATACAAGAGTCCTTGTTGACATGGCAAATCCCAGATGAAGAAAAACGTCAGCATCTTTTGGATGTGCTGTGGGAACCTGTGTTTGGGATCATTCGAACTGCCAAACTCCAAAACCTGGGATCACTACTCAACAGTGCCTCCAGACACTGCCGGATGTGTTTGGGCAACCATCGCAGTGTGGGGGGCCTTATTGTGAACTGTTTAGCGCCTTTCAGTATAAGGATGAAGCTGTCTCCTCATACCTGCTTTGTTTAGAGCTGGTGCTACAGTGCGTAGCAGCACAAGGAGCTCTTAGCATGATAGAGGTTGACCATGTGAGACTCCAACAAGTCCAGACAGGAGCCTGTTATGGCTTAGCCCTTATTCGGAATTAAAATTTGGCAGGGCCAAAGGGCAACCCCCCTGGATTTGGTCAGCTCATGAAGGAGGTGAGAGAGGAGGAGGAGATCCTCCATTTATGTGAAACTATGTGGACCCTGGAGGACAACCCTGTTTGGAGGAGACCTGTTAGCCAGGGGTTGGCGGTGACCCCACAGGAGTCACCCCTGCTTCCCCCGAGGCTGAGGAAGAACCCTTGCCACCAGTTTTAGCAGCTGTGGTCACTGGGGCTTCCTCTAGGATGCAACCTAGGACTAATCAGAATGCCCTGAGCCGAACTAAGGTGCGGACTTGCTTTAAAACCCCTGGAATTTGCCATAGGTGTGGGGAATATGGCTACATGGCTAGAGGGTGCTCTAAGCTAAAGGCCCAGTGGGAGTCGGGAAATGAGGGAGGGATGGAGCAAAGGAGTCTGTTCCACCCCAGGCCCTGTCAGACTCTTGAGCCTCAGCCCTGAACGTGATACCTGAAGGATTGATTGGCCCTAGAGCAGAGGTCCTGGTGGTTGTCAATGGTCACAAGTGCATAGCCATCCTGGATAGCGGATCACAAGTGACTATCCTATTCGAGTCCCTCTATAAAGCGAATTTTGAGCATTTACCATTGTACCCTCTCTCTGGCTTGGGTTTGTGCGGTTTAAGCCAGGATCAGTACTCTTATAGTGGGCATGTCGGAATCCAGATTACATTCCCTGTGTTTGTCGGAGGGGTAGATAAAGAAGTGGTGACCATCGCCCTGGTGTGTCCAGACCCTGGGTGGAGGAAGGGAGCTTCGCTCTTCATTGGAACCAATTCCAATATCTTTCAGGTACTGGCCAAGTACTGCAGGCAGCAGGCTGACCTGAGTTATCAGAAGCAGATGGAAATGCATGCCCTATGTTCTGAGACCTATGCTAGGTGGGAAAAGAGGGGTATGGGGAAAGTTTCCCAAATCCTGGGGGCCCTGCATTTCTCAAGGCGACCCCTCAGAAGATCCCGTCCAAGGGCCCTACCCATTGTGTGTAGGTGGGAGAGTGGCCCCTTGCCAGCAGGCCTGGTTGTGGTAGAGACCTTCCTAAGAAAGGAAGGACCCCAAGTGCTAAGGGTTCCTGACAGACTGTTTAATCCCAATGTTTGAGCAGAGAGCAGGTCAACGTTGTGGTGGTAAATCCCACCCTGAAGGATGTTGTGATGCACCCTGGGCAAAAAGTGGCCAGAGTCAGGAAGACTGAGGTGGTTGCCCTTATAGTGAAGCTGGACTCCTCACCTATAGATCCAGACAGGTTTTTCTTTGGGGACTCCCCCATGCTAGAGGCATGGAAGGCACAGCTATGTGAAAAGCTGCAGGGCAGGACCAACATCTTCTCCCTACATGAGTGGGATGTGGGGGAGGCTAAAGGTGTTGAACACCAGATCCACCTTAGTGACCCATGTCCCTTTTGTGAAAGATCTTGCCATATTCTGTTGGCAGAGATGGGGGAGGTTCGACATCACTTGCAAGAGCTTCTCGACTACAGAATTATTATCAAGTCCAAGAGTCCCTATGCCTCACCCATTGTTATAGTGTGTAAAAAAAATGGAAAATTGAGAATGTGTATCGATTATCATGTATTGAATGCTCTCACGGTGGTGGACCAATACACAGTTCCTAGGGTACAGGAGGCCTTAGATTGTCTGTGAGGCAGTAAGTGGTTCTCTGTGTTAGACTTCTGGAGTGGGTACTATAAAATCCCCCCTCAGGGAAGCCAACAAAGAAAAGACAGCCTTTATCTGTCCCTTAGGATTTTTCCAGTTTGAACACATGCCCCAGGGCATCTCAGGTGCCCCAGCTACTTTTCAGAGGCTCATGGTAAAGGTAATAGGGGATATGCACCTAACCCAGGTGTTGGTGTACCTGGATGACATTGTATTTGGCTGGACCCTGGAAGAACACGACGAGAGGCTCCTCCAGTGTTGGATCGACTTGAGGCAGCGGGGCTTAAATTGGCCATTGACAAATGTAAGTTCTGCCAGGCCTTGGTCAAATATGTGGGATATATAAGGTCAATGCTGTGACCACCTGGTCCGGACCCACCAACTACAGGGAGCTAAAGAGGTTTCTGGGGTTTGCCAGTTTTAATAGAAGGTTCGTACAAGACTATGCCACCGTCACTCGGCCATTGAACCTCCTCACTCGAGGTGGAATACGTCCACCAATCAGGTAACTGCTGGGAAGGGGCTTGCCCCACCCCTGCCAGGGAGGGGGAGGGCAAAGAGCCCTGGAACTGGTTGTAGCCTGCACTTTGCAAGTCTGATAGCACTCTGGGGGCTGAGCCTCCAGAGTGGATAAAAGGAACAGAGTGCCCAGCATGCAGCAGATGCAGCGGGGGATGAAGAAGAGAGTGGGGCAGGAGAAAAGCTGGGAAGAGCTGCCCAGCAGGTGGAGCCAGCGCCAGTCCAACTCTATAGCCCCGGCTGGTGTGCAGCTTGGCACATGGGGCTGAGACCCTGGGAGCCGTTTGTGCAACCTCTGGCATGAGGCCAGGAACTTGGTGCATGAGCGGAGACCCTGGGAGCTGCACAAGGTGGCTCAGGTCTGCACTCTCTGGTGAGACGCCAGGAACTCAATGCACAGGACTGTGCACAGAGTCAGGACTCTGGGCGCTGCCCAAGGTAGCTCAGTCCCCATCCATGGCAGTTGGCCAGGATGTGGTGCCAGTGGTTCAGCATGGGGTGATCTGGGAGGGACTGAGAACCCTGAGATCCACTTGGGGCTACATCTACTGGCACAGGACAGTGGCTTGGTATAAGACCGTGCTGCATGGAAGGTCCAGGAAACGACCGAGCCCCGGCACCGCACGAGGTGGCCCGGGCCTCCAACCCCCAGCAGAAGGCAGAGCCCTCGGTGCACGTGATGGTGCACAGGGCCACCTGTGGGAGGCAGCCCGAGGAGAGCCAGTGGCCTGGGAGGCCACGTATGTGAGGAGCGACCTGGC